CTCTGCCGTGACAGGGGGAGGGGCTGCATTCCCCTCTCACCGATCCGCCAGCGCTGACTGGCGGAACGGACGGGGGAGGGGGCGGGTACAGCTGGCTCTGCCTCTAGATAGGCAGAGCCAGCTGTCACTCACGCAGCTGGGCGGATCCCGTCAAAAGAGTCGTGATCCGTCCCGGCTGCGGCGTCTCAGTGGCGGGCTTCCGATGACTGCAATGCCGAACGGGCAGTGTGCGTATGCGCACACCGGCCCGTACTGCTGTTATCGTACGGACATGCCACAAACCCGCCGAACATCGTACAATGCTCGGCGGGTTTTCGAACATGTCCGTAAGTTTAAAGGAGAACTATGAGATGATTGTAGTAGAGGTCGCACGGCTTCCACACACCTTACGATAATCGTACGATCGCGGGATTTCCCGCAATTATTGTACGATTATCGTAAGGTGTGTGGGGACCTTTACGGTCTCTGAGGAAGGTTTGAATGATTCAATACTCTCAGCTGATAACACTGCTTATGGCAGCGAGTTCCCAAGTTTAACTGCTCTGAATAAAAGCCCCTACACCCAGGGTCGGTGCTACACTATTTTTCCCCTAGGCAAGACCAGCTACTGCAGCCCCCCCCTCCCACTGGGCCAAGCTTTAGTATCTTGTTAGTCGGCCCCGCTGGCTCTCAAAACACCTGAACAGTGCCTGCAGCCAATCAGATTGTTCAGGTACTAGCAAGATACTGAAGCTTGGCCCATTGGGAGATTCCTCCATCCACAGAGGAATCTGTTGCATTTTCCCTTCTGATCAGAGAAAGTCTGCAGATAATCTATAGGTGTGTGGTCAGTTTAAGATTGAACAATTGAAGGGGTCAGGTGGGAAATTTGTTGGCCAAGCAATGACTGTAGCTAATGATCTGCAGTCACTAATTGGATATTCTACAGCTGTCAGAATACAATAGCCGGCAGGGGAAATTCCTCCATCCACAACGTGGAAAGGGGAACTGAGCAGTCCAGCTCCCGGCTGAATGAGGAACGAGAATGAGAAAAAACGATATGTGTATGGCCAGCTGTAGTTAAGGATCAGCTTGTAGCAGCTGCAGCACTTGGCTCATATGCAGAGATCTGCTGCTGAATGCCTAATATAAGAGGTCTGTGGGTGACTCAGCCTGCGGGCTTCCACCCCATATCTAAAGTATATGTTTTGGGACGGACTGCTCCTTTAAGATGAACTCGCTTTCTCAAACTGGAAGGAATAGTTTCAGTGTCATTCCCCTGGAGGCCATTCCAGGACAGGCTCTGTGACAGCGATGACACTGCTTTCCAATCACAAGTCTGTACATAGGGCACATGATCCCGCATTGTTCAAACACTCAGATAATACCTTAATCCAGGGGTGGGCAACTCCGGCCCCCCTGCTGCTGTGGGACTACAAGTCCCATGATGCATTGCAAGACTGACAGCGACAGGTATGACTCCCAGAGACAGAGTCATGATGGGATTTGTAGTTAAAGCACAGCTGGAGGGCCGGAGTTGCCCGCGCCCGGCATAGATCAATACCCAGCACTGTGTGATCTATAGTGAGGAGTTCATGTGCTCGTCTGTGTTTGTATTTGGCCAGGAAATTGACATCTGCAGAATATTAGAGAAGACAGACGTAGCTGGCATGTGACTAATGGCCAATGACACCATGTGAACCTATTGTTGAAGGTTGATACATAGCGGAGATTTTGCAGCATGTGTTTACAATGTTTACTGAGGAGGAATCCTGTGTGTGGGACTCGGGCATCCTGCTTTTAGACTGTGCAAGGATTTCCCAACATCACACATGCCTCTCATAACAAACAAGGGCGGCCATTGACGTGGAAACTATTTAGGGATCTAGAAGTGATGAAATATAAACTAAGAATATACGTTTGTAAAGTCATTGAGGGGAATTTATCAAAACTGGAGCAGACAAAATCTGGAGCAGCTGTGCATGGCAACCAATCAGCATCCACCTTTAATTTTCAAATCTTACCTGAGCAAACTGAAGAGAGAAGCTGATTGGTTGCCATGCACAGCTGCTCCAACTTTGTCTGCTCCAGTTTTGATAAATTCCCCTCCTTATGTATTGATGTGAAGTGCCGTGTACCTTTGTATCTCTATAATGAAGAGTGCAATCCCTCCAGTAGAGTCCATCTGATGATATGTGTCGGCTCCCTATGGCTTCTCCAGCAGTTGTGGGACGGTGAATCTGACCATACACTATTCATTCTGATCTCACATCTGGCTACAGATCCTTTGTTCAAAGAAGGACTCCGGGTACAGTTGTTATTAACCCTTACAGTGGGGCTGCCACCGCATTGCAAGGGTTAAGTGCTCGTTTTTGCCTAGGGTCAAAAGTAAAAAAGTTATACTCACCTGATCCTCTGAGCTGGCTTGTTCCCAGACTGGTCCCTGGATCCTCTCTCTCCCTCCACTGCAGCAGTCTAAGATCCCGTAAATCACCACGTTCTATACACCGAGGCCCCGTGCAGACCTACGCGATCCGGGATCACGCGGTCCTGCACAATCCAGCCTGCAATTGCTGCACGGCCCCATTGATTTCAATGGGGTGACACCCATACGGCAATCGCAGAAAAAAGGTACATGTACCTTTTTTTTTTGCGACACACGACTTGCGGCTATTTTAGAAACCGCGCGACTGGGGTGCCATTAGAAAATAATGGCACCCACAGCGCGATCGGTGCACACATAGGCGACTCCTGACCGCGCGGCAATCCATGCCGAATCGTGCATGATTGCCGCGCGGTGAGGTGTCGCCTAGGTGAGCACCGGCCCTTAACCCGTGCAGCGGCAGCCAGACTCGTGGCAACCACTGATGTCACTACAGTAGATGACAGGAGCCAGGCAGAACAGCTGCTGGAGCGTCCCCGGTTGCTAAGAGCCGAGCCTGGCCATGTGTATGGGCTTGTTCACACCGGCAGCTGCGCTTGACCACGCGGCTGCTGATGTGCATGGGCCCGGATGTTGCTGATGCACTGGATCGAGTACGGGCCCCATGATTACTAATGCAATGCCTTTCACTTCCCTGCATGCAGATATATTAGCCTGATTTTAGGGCTGCGGGCCACTCATGCCCATGCAAAGCAGCCCTTACTGCTAATCTCAGTTTTGGCAAATCTAAAGGTGCCCATACACTGCACGATTATCGTACGATTATCGTATGCGATCGGTTTTTCGTACGATAATCGAGCAGTGTGAACGGAGACGTGCGACCGTTTCTACTGTACGGTCGCACGTCTTCTGTCGAACCAGCATGTTCGAAAACCAGCCGGGAATCGTACGATTCTCGGCTGGTTAGAACGGTGCTCGGAAGACAAATGCTGAACGGGCCGGTGTGCGCACGCGCACACTGCCCGTTCAGCATTGCGGTCATCGGAAGCCCGCCCCTCAGGGGGGCGGGCTTGCGATGATCGAGAGTGCGATCTGCCTGTCCAAGATAGGCAGATCGTACGTTTTTTTAATCCCTGTACAACCATCGCAAGACTAAAGTCTTGCGATGGTTGTAGAGTGTATGGCCACCTTAAAGGAGATTGTACAATCTGATTGTATACTGTATGAGCAGCTGAAAGGACAATGGGAGGGAGTTCATAAAAACTGGAGCAGATAGAGTACTTATGAAAAACAATCAGCTTCTCTCTTCAGTTTTTCAAGCTTTGAAAAACAAATATAAAAGCTGATTGGTTGCCACGGGCAGCTACTTATCAGAAAGCTGCAGCTTCACCCTTCAGCTTCCCCCATGTGTGTGTCTGCTCCTGTCATGGAGTGCGAGTGACTACTTCCATCTATCTGCTGTACGGCTGTGACATGAGAACTTTTCTCTCTATACAAAGTTAGACAAGTTTAGCGCTTCCGTCTGCTGCTGGGACTTGTGGTTCCTGCAGCATGTGATCGGAGCCAGGAGCCGATCTCTCCACCACCCCCCCGCACGGAGCTGACACCGCCGCTCATCATCCACATCGCGTACCTGCGGGCGCCGGGCAGACAAGTGGACAGCAGACAGCGGTGACGTCAGAGCTGGGGGCGGGGCCTCCGCACTTCCAAGTCTGAAGCCGGCCGGGATCGCGGAGAGGGAGCGGAGGAGGAGGGGGGTAGGGGGGGCTGCAGGAGAGAACAGGGGGGAGAGAGATTAAAAACAAGGGGAGGAGGTAGATGAAAGGTGGTATCATAAGATACAGAGGGAGGAGTGCTCTGCAGTGGATATATATATATATAGAAGAGTTTAGACACAGAGGAATCACAGCAGCCGCCGACACATCATCGCTGTGCTGGACCACTGATCGCTGGAAGTGTCTGATCGCCCCGTCTGTAGAGCAGACATAGCGGAGCTGATCACTCAGGTGAGGATGTCCCCGGGGAGCAGACACCGATCTGCACACTCCCTGCACCGATCGTCCGACTTATTGCAGGTGTACGATGGACACTGATCGGTGTCATTGTAGGTGTTCAGAAGAAGGGCACTTCTTGTATAACTGTATGTGTTCTCATTGTTATTGATTATCCGATATCGATGCTTATGGATCGCACTGACCAATTAGGTGATCATGGTGCTTTATCATGCAGTACATTGACGTGCAGCAGGTGTTCATAGAAGCAGGTGCGGGTCTCTCACACGTGTAAATGGCTCTGGACTGTCATGTGATTATTTATCCTTTGTGTTGATGTGTGGTCATTTGTCATGTAATCGGTTTATTAAAGCTCTCAGCATCCATAGAGAGGAATTGCCTTCATTTCAGATAAGGAAAGCCAAGGCAACAGGTGGGTGACATTCTGCAAGCTGCTTCTCCCTCTAGTTCTGCTATTCAATCTGCTCTTCTGTATCCTCAGCTTTGTGATCTCCTGGCCATTCCCTGATAATGACTCTGTGCCAAGCTTGTGCCCTGTGGAACCCAGCATGACCTTTCTGTCTCCTGCGCTGCCAGTTGTGCCCATTGATAAAGTGTGCAATGTGTCAGATGACTGTGTATTGCAGACAGATGTCCTGATAAGAAGCCATATCTCATCCCCTGGCACCCCGGGCACGATGGAAGGAGGTCAGCTGTTATAGGACATGGGGTGGCCCTCAGGCTGGAGTCTTCAGCCACTTTCCACTCTTTGCTCATTCAGGATGGAGGTAATTACCCCTGGGGTATGGGGGACATGATCTGTCTGTTGCGGGATGGCAGGATGTGTAAGTACCCCTGGGGTATGTGGGGCATGATCTGTCTGTTATGGGATGGCAGGATGTGTAATTACCCCTGGGGTATGTGGGGCATGATCTGTCTGTTATGGGATGGCAGGATGTGTAATTTCCCCTGGGGTAATGGTGGGCATGATCTGTCTGTTATGGGATGGCAGGATGTGTATATACCCCTGGGGTATGGGGGACACGATCTGTCTGTTATGGGATGGCAGGATGTTTAATTACCCCTGGGGTATGTGGGGCATGATCTGTCTGTTGCGGGATGGCAGGATGTGTAATTACCCCTGGGGTATGTGGGACATGATCTGTCTGTTATGGGATGGCTGGATGTTTAATTACCCCTGGGGTATGTGGGGCATGATCTGTCTGTTATGGGATGGCAGGATGTGTATATACCCCTGGGGTATGGGGGACACGATCTGTCTGTTATGGGATGGCAGGATGTGTATATACCCCTGGGGTATGAGGGGCATGATCTGTCTGTTGCGGGATGGCAGGATGTGTAATTACCCCTGGGGTATGGGGGGCATGATCTGTCTGTTACGGGATGGTAGGATGTATAATTACCTCTGGGGTAATGGGGGGCATGATCTGTCTGTTATGGGATGGCAGGATGTGTATATACCCCTGGGGTATGAGGGACATGATCTGTCTGTTACGCGATGGCAGGATGTATAATTACCCCTGGGGTATGAGGGGCATGATCTGTCTGTTATGGGATGGCAGGATGTGTAATTACCCCCGGGGTACGGGGGCATGATCTGTCTGTTAAGGGATGGCAGGATGTGTAATTACCCCCGGGGTAATGGGGAGCATGATCTGTCTGTTATGGGATGACAGGATGTGTAATTACCCCCGGGGTATGGGGGGCATGATCTGTCTGGTGTGGGATGACAGGATGTGTAATTACCCCTGGGGTATGGGGGCATGATCTGTCTGTTAAGGGATGGCAGGATGTGTAATTACCCCTGGGGTATGGGGGGCATGGTCTGTCTGGTGTGGGATGACAGGATGTGTAATTACCCCTGGGGTATGGGGGGCATGATCTGTCTGTTATGGGATGACAGGATGTGTAATTACCCCTGGGGTATGGGGGCATGATCTGTCTGTTAAGGGATGGCAGGATGTGTAATTACCCCTGGGGTATGGGGTCTTGAGCTCTTTGGCAGAATGTATAATTACCCCCGGGGTTATGTGGGGCATGATCTCCCTGCTGTGGGATGGCAGAATGTATAATTACCCCCGGGGTTATGTGGGGCATGATCTCCCTGCTGTGGGATGGCAGAATGTATAATTACCCCCGGGGTTATGTGGGGCATGATCTCCCTGCTGTGGGATGGCAGAATGTATAATTACCCCCGGGGTTATGTGGGGCATGATCTCCCTGCTGTGGGATGGCAGAATGTATAATTACCCCCGGGGTTATGTGGGGCATGATCTCCCCGCTGTGGGATGGCTAGATGTGTAACCACCACTAGGGGTATGGGGACATGATCTGTCTGCTATGGGATGGCATGATATGTAGGATCGCTGTCTTCCCATAAGACAAATGTATCTGCCAAAAGAAAGTTACAGATCTGCAAATAAGCAATTCTCCTCCTCATCACATGACAGACGGTCCATGTCCTGGCACTGTAGAGTCATGTTTGCACTGCAGGTAACTGGAGCTATTGTCATACTGCTTGATTTCAGATGAATTCAAACTTTCACCAGCTGGCTGACTGATCTGCTGTAGGTGAAGCATGAAGTGTGTGCTGCCAAGAACACAAATTAGCAATGCCTAATCTGTCTTGTAGACAGCTTGTAAATACTTAACCTCATCATGGGTTGTACGTTATATTTAAATGTCTTAAAAAGGCAAAGACAATGTTTAGATCTAGAGTGGGAGGAACATGCAGACTGCAGTGTCTGACCCCCTTCTGAAAATGCCAGTTGTCTGGCTATTATGCTGACCCCCCCGGCTTTAATTCGTCGACCTTAAATTATAACTGGAACAGAAAAGATAGAGGGATTTTTTAAGTGCAATAAGTATCTTTTTGTGTTTTAGGCTAATTGAGGTTCGTGAACACTTATTTGTCATGCCACGTATTGTTCATAAAAGTTTACCTTTTCTATTTCAGGTACTTTAGTCTTTGCAGATGACCAGATACCAATTACATTAAGAACTCAATATATCCTAATTAGAAATGGTGGCTCACTCCATATTGGTTCCCCTCAATGTCCCTATACCTCCGACGCCACCATTTCTCTTTATGGAAAATCTACTGATGGGGATGATGTGGAAGAGTTTGGAAAGAAGTTCATAGGAGTGGATAGAGGTGGGATATTGGAACTGCATGGAAGAAGACCCCTATCTTGGACATTGTTAGATGCGACCCTGTATCCTGGAGGGCTCCCCTATGGATCCTATAAGTGGGAGAAGCAATGGGGCAGCCGGGGCATCAATATCAGGATCATTGACCCAGAAACTGGGCAGGTTCAGGCTGCTGATCGGTTTGACACACACATGTTTCTGGAGGAGGGGAAGAGGCTGGAGGAATTCCTGGCCAAGCAGAGTCCAGGCAAGGTGGTGGCTGCAGCAGTGGGAGACTCGGCGGCAAAGAGCTTAACTCCAGATGTGAGAAGATACTTGAGAGAAACGTTAAACAGTAAATACATCTATCATCTAGGTTACAGGTAACGTCCAGCTCCCACTCCTTACCTTATGTGACATCAATGCACTGAACACTTAACAAGTCGTCACTTATTGTCGTCTTTATTAATGTAAATATACCTATTGTGTCCATTGTATGTAGGAAAGCAGCCACTCCTCAGCTGTTATGAAACTGCCTGTCCTCATATGCTTCTATATCTCTAATAATATTTAATAGATATGCTGTACATGTTGGGTATGGCAAAAGAACGCTATCAACCTTTGTGACATAAGTCCTCCTCCACGTGTTCTCAGTACACCATCACCTTCCACTCCACTTTACCCATGGTAGGACTCTCCATCCAATGATCACCCCCTTCCAGAATAAAGATCACCTTCCACTCCCCTTTACCCATGGTAGGACTCTCCATCCAATGATCACCCCCTTCCAGAATAAAGATCACCTTCCACTCCCCTTTACCCATGGTAGGACTCTCCATCCAATGATCACCCATTTCCAGAATAAAGATCACCTTCCACTCCTTTTTACCCATGGTAGGACTCTCCATCCAATGATCACACCCTTCCAGAATAAAGATCACCTTCCACTCCTTTTTACCCATGGTAGGACTCTCCATCCAATGATCACCCCCTTCCAGAATAAAGATCACCTTCCACTCCCCTTTACCCATGGTAGGACTCTCCATCCAATGATCACACCCTTCCAGAATAAAGATCACCTTCAGTACTCTCCAGACTGAGCACTCTCCCAGACCTTTACATGCAATCTGATCTTTTTCCAAGGGCACGGTTGGATCATCCACAATGCAACCTATGCATAAACCTAGGGACTTGTAGATGTCCAGAGGGTCCAGCTACAACCTTCATGTTCCCTACAGATAAACCTGAGGGGCAGCACAACTGGTCAGAGCTGTAACTTTAGAAGGGATGATGTACTTATGGGTATTTGTCTGATGGAGCCATGCCAGTAGATAATGCTACCAGGATGGCTTTTCTTTGCCTATTGCAATCCTTATTAATACCAAATTGAAGGGATGGGGCAGCTACCATGCCTTGGGCCTCATTTGCCTTAATCTGTCTCTGCTTCAAGCCACCCTGTGGCTCTGCCATGAGACTCAAGAAATATATTCAAGAGGTGAGCCACAGGATGCTGGTTCCATGAAGAACTCTTTGGAACAGTGCTTACATCACCCAGAGACTGCTAAAAGACTCTCTCTCTCTCTCTCTCTCTCTCTCTCTCTCTCTCTCTCTCTCTCTCTCTCTCTCCAGTATCCCTCCAACAGGACAGGATAACAATGCGGCGTGCTGGTGTTTTCTAAACATTTGTAGTGACTGTTCAAATAGAACAATAGTGTAGATAAACTAACAAAAAAATAAATATTTAAATATTTAAAAATGTTATCGTAACTTCAAGCAGTCTTTGTTTTCTGATCCTTTATCTTATCTCTCTACTGGTGCTAATATCTCTTTTATCTTTATCTATTGATGTGCAAACACATTATTTAGCTGGGACAAATATGCTGAGAGGCGCACTCATAGGTCTCGTCCACAGCTAGGCGTATTGCATATGCGCGACCGTCGCGCGTTTTTTTACCGCGATTCGCAGTAAAAAAGTTGCGCGTTTCCGAAGGCTACTTGGCTGTATCCCAATGGAAACGCGCAACAAAACGGCCCAAAGTAGTACCTGTACCTTTTCAGGCGTGGGCCGTTTTGTAGCGCGTTAGGGACGGGCGGAAATACGCCAAGGTGGGAACGAGACCATTGAATACAATGGGATTTATATTTTTGAGCGTTTTGTAGAGCGTTCGTCGAGCGTAGAACGCGCTACAAAACGTTCAGGTGTGAACGAGGGCTTAGATTGTTGAGTGGTCTGCTCACTTGTTTGCACAGGCCTTGTATGTTTGGCACGTTACACATGGACATGTCTAGGCTTCTGTTTAATACGACTAATGATGAAAAGTGAAGGTTTAAAGGTCAATGCCTTTTGTAAGTGGTCTGATAGAGACATTGAAAGCGAGTCTAGCAGAGCAGGATGTGTTGGAGCAGAAGCAGGTCTACCATGGACAGCTCCTGGGCGGCTGATAAGATATCAGGACCAGATAGTTGTGCTCTACACCCAGGTACATGGGCGTCATCTCTCTAAGCTGAAATATGAGAAAAATGCTAGGAATGTAACAAGGGACCAGGAGCGCAGACTAGTCTACAATAATACCTGTAGAGGGCTTATTTGGGCTGCCACCACTGGCGACCCCCTTTCCTTTATCACACAATTTCACTCTAATGTATGTTGCTATAAATATTTACTTAGCGTTTGATGAATTACAGGGTTGAGTGGATTTAAAACATGCAGGGAATTCCATTATATTGTGTTCTGCTATGCTCATAATAATTTGAGGCTCTGACAGGTTAATCCTATAAGGCTTTTCTTGTGTAATTATCCATCTGTAAGCTATAGAAAGAAGTAATGTGGGTATATGAAAGAAATGACTATTACTTGCCATAGGGGTGGAATGTGCTATAAAATAGAAATATATGACAGCCTTATTATAAGGGTAGGGCTGGCAAGGCAGTTATTGCCCCAAGGCCAGTCTTGTTTTGACAGATGAGAGCTGGCACTGAAAGGTTAAAGGGACATCCTTCATGTTTATACAGCGCATATTTATGCTTCAAACCGCCTATATAATAGAATGAAGCATTACTTTACTTACTTTACAAATATGACATTGTAATGCAGAGCACATGGCTAATCAAATGTAGATATTTTGTTTATCCTCTTATCCATCTTGTCCTTCTTGTATGTTAATAAAGACTTAACGTCCATGAGATAGTCTTATTGGACAGTGTAATGACAGATGGCAAATATTAGCCATAAGGCCAGTGAAAATCAAACCCAGTAACAAAGTCTAACTAAATCAGAGAGGGGCACAAAAGAGGCTATTCTGGCTAACATTGGTAACAACAGGCATCTAGTGAAGTTTGTTCAGCACTGGCTGGGACCTCTGATACTTGTGGAATAATGTCACCTCAGTATAGGCATGGCGCATCAAGGGGGCCAGCCCCGTGTGAGTTGGCGGCCATTTGGTCTCTGCAGGACCAGATCCACATTGAGAAAGGGGTTTAGTTTGCCTGAAAAAGTTGGTTATTAGACCTTATTCTCTTTCTCATCCTTTCCTGGCATTATCATTGTGGCCATTACGCTTGTTATGACTACTCATTATCGATTTATTACAGACCTTTGTATGAAATGCTTGTGCAATGTTGTACATTATATCACTTATACTGCTTGTTAACATTGTAAAATTTGTATTGATTTTGAACACTATTTGTATCGCACTACCGATCATACTACTGATACATTGAAATTGGGTGTGCTGATTTTATCTATATATGTTGCCCTTAGACAGGACATTTTCCTATACTTTTCACTCATGGAATGCAGTAACTGTTCAGACATCCAATCAAGCATGGGAGATTTAGAAAATGATTAGATATATGAATGTATGTTATTATATATCTATAGATAAAGACAGAAAACCATTCCTGCTCAGTGAGAAAAAAAAGGTTTGCATATGCACCAGCTCACATGCAGCCATTCAGACTGCACAGTAAGTTAGTTAATATGGAATTCAGGAGGCAGTCTGTCCAATTCAGGAGCCAGCATGGTTTTTTAGGAGATAGCTCCATTGACAAAAACTAGAGGAAACCTCAAAACGTAGGCACCAGCTATAATTTTTAAGAAGTATTGGCTACCTGGCTGCTGATGTAAATACATAGATGTCAGGAGGCGAGAGCATTGTTTTTACATGTGCTGACCCACACTGAATTTAGAAGAAATCAGCTGTATCTCTTTTCCCTTCGACAAAGAAGGTGAATCTGTACACTGAGGGTCTGATTTTTAAATCTTCTACCCAACATGGTGCTACTGCCACTAGATGGCGCGAGGAGCATAGGAATTTCCTGTGCAACTCGGCTCCATCTAGTGGCAGTAATGCCATGTGAATGGCATTCCCGAACCTATATGCTGGGAAGAGCATTAATAAATCCGCTTCTATGTAAACCATGGCAAAAATTGATTACATAAGTAAAGCAAAAAAGTGCTGTGAAGTAGCTTGTTACTTTAATATTGTTAATTCCTCATATGGGCTGACACTATAGTGTTTCTCCACTCATGGCAATTAGTAAATAAATCTGTTGACCTTCCACTTTACATCTGCCCTAAAGTACACTGAAAACACACTTAGTATCATAGGAGAATGAAATAGGTAAGATATACAAATGACAATGTGTATTCATTTCTTCTTTCATCATTCCACTGCCTTGTCTTACAAGATTACATATTTCAGCAAGGTGGCAGTAAATAAAATGAAACCCATAGGCGGCCATTACTGACCACTTTTTGAAAATTCTAGCTGCCTGGCCTTCTTTGGTTTCAACCTGTTTGGAAAAAGACTGCGGCAAGTGAATTCAGGGTATAGTCAGAAATCCTTATCTGCATACTCTTTCCAGGTCAGTGACTGATAAATTATTGAAGCTTTTAGATCAGCATGACAGCCAGAAAACAGACATTTTTCAGAAGTAGAGAGCAGCAATGTCTTGCTAGATATTTCTCTTGGTACAGGTTTTAGCCCTCTGGTGCTCAATATAAAATACCCAAGGTATCTTCTGCATAGGTGATGTTTATTACTGTAAACAGAACAATGTAGTTTATTTGCTTCTCCATAGAAAAATCCTTAATACTCTAACATATTTTCCATGTTATGACCACCAGGCAACCTTGGGCTTTGGTCGGTGTGCTTGGAGAAGGTCCACTCAAAGTATCTGAGGATAAGAAACATTATGAAAACAATGGAACAACTGACCTGGCCGTTGCAACAAGAGAATTTCAAACATATGGAGGACTTCATTTCACTGTTACCGCCTACAGCGGGTGGAGTACAGGTAAATTATGAAATGATAAACACTCTAAAGCCAATAAATACATCATGCATAGCATTTGAATAAAGTGATATTAAAGCAAAAATATTTTTTTTTATTTCTCCTTTAAGGAGACCCTCCTTTGCTAGAGGATGTTGCTTTTTTTCTTTAAAAGTACTTCATTACTCGTTTTCTATTGGGTTCCCGCCATGCTCTTACCCCAGCCCCCTGCACGGGTGCCACCATCGTTCTAATAGAGGCACCCGTGCTCGCTCGTGCCCGCAGCGGCTATGTGCATCCATAGACACACACGGTCCTGTGGCAGGCCCCTTCCCTCTTTGATTGATGGCAGAAGGAGCCTATGGCTCCTTCTGCCATCAGTATCCTCCCCCACAACCCGGAAGTTCGGGGTACGGAGGATCGCTTCGGGACCGGCGGCGGGGTCGAGCACAGCTGACAGGTAAGTGTGGGGGGGGGACAGGGGTAGAAAAAAGGTGCTGGGCTGTTTTTACCCTATGGTAAATGCATTAAGGTAAAAAACGCCCAGACCTTAATGCTACTTTAACTAGTAATAGAGGAGGTCCATGTTATGAAAGAACTTACCTGAAAGGCACACAGCTTCTGTATTTACCATTGTAAACATAGGTAAGAAGGCTCCCAGGAGTTTATGGTTCCGCGGGACCCTGGCATCTGATGGTTAACTGGTTGGTCTATACTATAT